GGGGGGGGGGGGGGGGGGGGGGGGATGGAGTTGGTGCCCCCTGACGTGTAGTAATATTAGTGGTCTTTTGTTGATTAGATGGCTACGTATGCATATTTATAATATACGCGATATGGTCAGATGGATGAAAGGGTTTAATATTGGGCAAATGTATGAGTTGAAGTGTTTAAATGGAAATGTTCTAAGTTTATATACCGGTATGACAAACGGGTGCAAGTTTAGGTGGCTCGAAGGTCATTTTACCTTTATAATAAGGTATAAGATCATTTAGATTATAAATAAAATACCTAATAAAAGAATATCATATATAATAAAAAAAGACTCCTATTACATAAAGGAGAAAATAAAAATAGCAAGGGCAAATAGATATTTTGTAGGATAAAGGGGGAATTTTTCAATAATCTATTTCTATATCTATATAGAATAGGAGAAGCAAATCAATGTGGTGATATCAAGTGTCACAACAAAAATTCATCAAGTATTGAATTTTAGGACAAAATTAGTTAGTTTAGTTAATAATTAGTTATTTAAAATAATTAAATATCTATATATTTTTAAGAAAACTATTATATAAAAGAAAAAAATATAAATATAAATATAAATATATATTTTGAGATGAGAAAGTTTTTGAATAATTCATATGGTCATACTATGTGCTATATGGATAAGATAAAAACACAAACAATAATTTCGAGAAATAAATAAAATATATAAAGATATAATTTAACTTCTTATATAGTAATCTTAATAAAAAATTAAACTTTCGTATTAAATACAAACGGGAAGAAGAATTCAATTTAATTTCTTATTGAAAATAATACGGAAATATTTGTACGCAAATAATAATCATTACAATTATTAATAGATGTATGGCATATAATAAAAGAACTTTTATGTTTAATCTTTGAACTAATTCTACACCATCCATTTAGAAAAATAATACAATAATACGCTAATATTCGTATTACAGATAAAGACTAAATGCAAAAAATCAAAATATTATAGAGCAAAAACTAATGTATAAAGAGGAGAATAGATATAATGTGATTCTTGCGACACTTTAATTTTATTTGATATATTTAAGTAAATAAAGAATACTCGAAAATATTATTGATAAATTTAAATATTGAAATAATTATGAGAAAGTCAGGTCTTGGAATATTTGAAAGCTCTCTTTATGTTTCATAATAAATGGATCCCTCTCGACCAACTCCTAATAACAAGAAATATCTTAATAAGGGAAGATAGAAATCATTTGGATTGGAGGCGAGATCAGAGATGGAGCTAGAGGTCAGAGCAGGGTTCGGCTGAACCCAATATATAGCTTTTGCTCAAATAACTTATTTGTGTTAAGAAATTTATTAAGTATGTACAAACATTAAATTTAGAATTCAGTTATTAGAGCATGAAATCATAGTTAAAAAATTTAAAACTTATAAAGTTAAAATCATGGCTTTGCCTCTGGGAAAACCGTTCAATATCTATCAAGAAATCGAGATTTCAAATTCCATTATAAATTGTTCTAACATGAATAAAAGATTTCCGGTTCAAGACACACAATGCCTTTGATAATCAAGAATCTAAAGTTAAACTGAGCCTATTCCGACTATAACGGCCGTCGTTACCCTTGATGTCAAATTTAGGAAATAACGGCTCCTTAGCAGGGAACATTGGAGTTTTTTCTCAGTCTAACCATTATTTTTCTACTTCAGCTGCAAAAATATAGTAGAAAATGCTTGTTTAATTTGCTTCTTCTTGATATGTTCATGTATATGCATTAGGTTTGTGTATATAGGTCGGGTTGATTCGGATTTTCTAATTACCAAACCAAACCAATTATATCGGGTTATTAAATCTAAAGACCAAACCAAATAAATAAAAGACGGGTTTTTAAATCTCGATTTTTCTCGGGTTTTCGGGTTGTTTCAGGTTTTTTTTATCATAAAGTCTTCATAACACAAAATATAGAATTTGTGCTCTAGATATTTCTGTAATCCTAGTAAGACAGAACTATATAAAGTATTTTTAATAAAATAACATAAATATGAGATGATTCATGGCATTGTACTACAATATTTAACAATAAGATGAGTAAAACGCATTAAAGAAATTAAATATTATTAATTAGCCATAATGAAAACAAACATAATTTAAAACTACTAATAAGTTGCTAAAATAAGTACGACTAATAACCACTATTATTTACATGACTAAACACTAAAAGAAAAAAAAATAAGTTATGCATTTTATCTAAACCATGAAAAACTAAAAAATAGATATCCAACACTATTTTCATTCATAGTATAATTGAATTGAATATTTTTTATAAATCATTAGTATTGATTTGATTTTGGTTTAAGATTTATTTGAGTTACTAATATTTATGGACTATAAAACTTAATGGAGCATCAAAAAATTATAAGCCCAAACTTGAAATAATACATTAAAAAATAAAATTATGAAAAAACTTAAGAAATATTTAAAAACTACATTACAATAAATATTTTCATGTATTAAATATATTTAAAACTTCTATACATATAACATCATGTTGGTTTGATTTCGGTTTGATTTTTTTTAGTTAAAACCAAACCAAATATCGTCGTTTTTTTTTTCCAACACCAAATCAATCAAATCAAATTATAGTCGGATTTTTTTTCCCGATTTGACTCGAATTATCGAGTTGATATATTTTGTCGATTTTATTTGTACAACCCTAAGTGTGTATATATATATATATATAGGTACGAAAAGGAAGAAACCGTATCCAAATTTACTAAGGAATGTGACTTTTCTTCTTATTCTTGAATCTTGAGTTGATTCCTACTTGAACAAGCTTTTGTCTTCTTTTTTTCCACTAAAAGTTCTTGACCAATGAGAAATCAAATTACTACAACCCTTTTTCATGGTAAAAAGGAAGTGTACGGGGGCGGCAGTATACGCATTTCTGACAAGTCTCATACATAATATGCGACTTATAAGTCACATTTTGTTTCTGAAGCTTATAAGTTGGCGTATAAACCCGAAATTGCGGTCATAATAGAGTGTAAAATCCTCCTGGACAACCTTTCCCCCTTTTACCTCCGCCATAGCAACCGATTTTCGATGTTTTTGACTGATTTTTTGTAGCAAATATTTTCTACATCCAACAACAAGCTCAAACCTTGGCGTCGTTGAAAAAGCCCTAAAAGTGAAATCAACTCCATTCATTTTGTATTCGAATTTCACTACGAAAGAAAGGTATGTTCTTCCTCTGATATTCTAGAGTTAATTTATTCTCCACTTTGATAAATTAGGGATAATTTTGTTAAAACCCTTGCTGCTCGACTCGACGACTTCTGTTCTTTTTCTTCTAGCCATGGCTGTCCGAATAGGTTTATGTTGTTTTGAATTATCATTTTGGTTTTTATGTTGTGGCTTTGAATTTGTACTATGTTCGGACAGTTAAATATCCTTACTCGAATTATTTTAGAGAACTGAAAATTTCAAAGTGCAAATATATCAGTTGTAAGATAGTTATAATAAGCATTTTCCCTACTAGGTGACACTAATTATTGGTTTAAATTAGCATTTTCCGGTATTTAATGACAATCTTTGGTTGAAGAAAAGCATATCCTTGTTTTGGTTAAGTCCATAATGTTCAGGGTATTTTAGAGAGGATGTGTTTAACTTATCTAAAACCTATCAAAGATAAAAATAAAACACATTATGAAATGCAGTTTACAAATCGACTGCTCATATGCCACTGCAAAAAGCCTGAGAACTGTAAAATTTGATACGCATTGACAAGTAATTTCATATAGTTGCAATTCGTGAATGCGTTTTAGTACGAAATATTCTCTGCATGTGAGGAATCTAAAAAGATAAATAGCAGGCTGTGAATGCTTTTCATTAATCACAATTTTGAACTGCACTTGGGTTGCTCTGGTGGTAACTGGTAAGCACCCTCCACTTCCAACCAAGAGTTTGTGAGTTCGAGTCACCTCAAGAGCAAGGTGGGGAGTTCTTGGAGGGAGGGAGCCGAGGGTCTATCGGAAACAGCCTCTCTACGCTAGGTAGGGGTAAGGTTTGCGTACCCACTACCCTCCCCAGACCCCACTAGTGGGATTATACTGGGTTGTTGTTGTTGTTGTTGTTGTTGTTAGAGTATGAATATTCTCTGCAACATGGTCAGAATCTTGGAAATAGTAAAACACAATCATCCATTGAGACCTACAAGTCGCTTTTGGCAATTGAGATTCATAAGTTGCCTTCCAGCATTGAGTTTGATAAAACTCATTTGTCCAGTGCGATTTGTGCTAACGCCACTGCCAGACGGCTCGTTAGCTCAATTAACTTATGACATAAGCAAATTGCATTCAAATCGCATTCCATGTATGTGTTTTGCATATTTTTGTTTTCTCACAAAAACTACACTTCTCTTTATTGATGATCAACGCACTATCTCTCCTCCTTCCATGCTTCTAAATTTTTCACTTTTTCATTCAGTGTTGCATTTAGTACATATTTTCTTGACAATTTATTCACTTTGTATTCTGTGCTTTTATTACACCTTCAGTAAAAGAGATCATTTTATTCCCACAAAAGAGTGCTAAGAGAGGTTTTTTGAACTCCAAAGAGCTAAAATTATCTGCGAAAGCTTTCTAAGCCATTAAAATTAATTCCGTTGCTCTCTTCATCCAATAAAAAAGAAAAAGAGAATCCTTGCAATCAAGAGGTTTGTCAAAAAGGTGGTATTACTGGTTGGCAATTAAGAGTCATGTTCTGTGAGGAAAAATTATAAAATAGTACACCAAACTTCAAGTAGTATAGCAAAATTTTAACTACACCAATGGACATGTTTTTAAACTTCAAGTCTGTATTTTTTATGTTTTGCATTGAGCTTGGCATGAACTAGCCACCACTAGTGTACATATAAAGTTGTAGTACAATGAAAAATTAGGGTTTTTATCTTCATCTGTTTACTCTCTGTCTTTTCTCGTTTCAGCTTTTCTCTTTTGCTGCAGCTGCGTGTAACATCCATTGCACTTCTTGGTGGTGTTATTTCTGCTGGCGCTGAATGATGGGAAACCAATCACTCTGTGACAATAACATGGTGGAGGAGGAGGAAGCAGAGTATGTATTGCTTGATTTGGATGGCATTTCCTCCGAAGTTCACATTCCCCCAAATGCACCATATGTTCTCTCTGTATGATTTTCTAGCTCAAGTTTACCTTTTAGTTAATTGCTTTAATTTTCTTATGGATTCAAACTAAAGTGTAACCCCCTCTTTTTTATTTCTCTTCACTCTTCAGATACTCATGGTTTTCAACTGTTCCATAGTTCTTTACAACTGGGTTTTTTCGTGGTGCTTTTATGAAAATATTACAATTGATTATTTTCCTTCAATTTATTTTTCTCAGGGTCTTGACACATTGAATCCCATCTTGACCATTGATGGCAAAATCAAGCTGGTGAGTTGATGGTTTTGAAAACAGCTTAGTTTTCCCTTTCTGTGACATTATAATTTTTCTGCACCAGTATAGTTGGCTTCAATGGCCGAGCCAAGTCCAAAACTTGTGTGAACTTTATAATCATGCTTACCACATTCTTATCAAGTTCTATATCTTTTACTGGCATTAGTCGTTACAGTGATCAAACATCTTGATGCCCACTGACACCCTTACACCACAGTAGTGCGCCACACTACACTTACAGTCACTTTATTGTTTCACTGTTTCTTGCAAGATAGTCAATATTGCACTTAAGTAAAACCTTATAAGTTTCAGCCCACACAGTTGTGTCTTCCATCAATAAGAGGATACAAATATATTTTATCTGTTTCAACCCCACTTATTTCTGGTGATTCTTTAGTTGAGATCATTCTAGAGAAAAAGAGTTGGTGAGGGAAAACAAAGTAGATATAATGGATAGTGGGTGTAATAATTCTGGTTGCACATCACAAAATGTTGTTTCTTTTGAACATGTTATTTTGTAATAACATTTGTTCCATCTTGTCTCTGCTATCATAGTTCTCAACTTTTCTCTGTGTATATGATATTTCAATTGGTCTTTGTTTCTGTTTTGCAGATTGGACAGTATGATGAGACTATTGGGACATGCCTTGTATTTAGTGAAAGTGGTGAGCCACGCTCCTCTGTAGTCTGTACCAACATATTTTATTGACAGTACAAGAGATTCTTGAAAATGTTTGGAAGGCATGAGATATTTATCTGATTATCTTAGTCGCTTCCCCTGGTGCATATGAATGTCAATTTGAGACAAAATTAGGCACATTGCGGACTATGAACCGTGGAATTTTCTTTCCTGGGTACATATGAATTGAGGAGTTTCTGGAACTTAAGCCTCTTTGCATGTCTTACATTTTCCAAATTAGCCGGAAGAACAAAAAAGCACAAAATATTTGAATCAATCTGGAATTTTATCATTAAGCTAAAGTTCTTTTTGCAGATGCTCCCTCCATGGTTCACGAAGACACAGGACCATCTGAATCCAACCATTTGCCAGGAAGACGCATATTAGACCCTAAGGAAACCGAGTCCAAGCAAGTCAAGCCTGTAACACAGCTTCATAAGATACTTAAGTTCAGGTTGTTGCAGGATACTGAAACTGAAGATGCAAGAGAGAAGCCAAAAGAAGATTAGGTAGCTGAGCTTCTTAGTAAATTAGAAGATACTTAACTATGTTTGACAATGTATAGAGGAGTCGAAGCGGAGCCATTACAACATAGCAATGGGTAGCATTGCTGGTATTTTCTTGCTAGTACCTAAACCAAATACTTGCTTCAGAAACTCAGATGTTTCGCAATTGTTAGCAATTAGATATGGCAGATAGAATTGGTAGGTTACAAAATGTCATTTCTTACTCTGAAGCAAGGGACAAGTGCTCTGACTCGCAACTACATGTCGCATAGATGAACCAGAATCCAAAAGGAGATTGCTCTGTTATTTCTCCTAGCATTTTCTCGTTCCTATATCCAATATAGTCCTTCTGATGCAGGAATGTAAAGGGAGGAAAAAAGAGTGAAAACTATCAGCAGATGAGAATAAATTGTTAAATCAAATTTCTGTTCTTACCAATAACAGATGCTTGAAAGCTTTAATATGAGAAGTTGGAACAGCGCAGTGTTGGTGAGTTTGGTGCTGCAGGCACAATGGGGAAGCGAACCAGCAACAGAACAGTTTTAGTGCAAATTGTGCTAATCGAAAAGACATGACATGTCCCGCCCGAGGGAATTCCAAAATAATTTCAACTTGTTATGAACTCAATTGCCAAGTATACCAACATGTTTCAGAGGCAAAATAGATTTTAAATAAAAAAATTGAATTCTGTTTATTGCAAATTGTGAACCATTCTATAAGATAAAAGAAAATGGAGGATAAGAGGATGAGTTAATGAAGTTACAAGATATCGTGCTCGTGTTTATTTTTCAGTTACATCCTTTTTTTTTAACTTACGAAATATTTTTGTGCCCTTTCTTGCACAATTCTTTCATTGAATGTAAATCTAAGAAAATACTTAAAATATCTTACTTTGGAAAAAATGACAAAAGTATATTGTAATTTTACATTGCAAACACACACAAAAAGAAACTACCACTTGTGTGAGGCAAACCGTAAAGTCACTCCTATAAATGGAAATAAGTTTGTAAGAAGATTTTTATCACTCCCTATTTTGAGCATTCCATTTGTCGCCTTTTTTTTTTTGGTTTTCTCCGAACTCGAAAAATTCCAAAATTAGGGTATCCCGAGAAAAAAGAGCAAATATGAAAATATCTATGACGCAAAAAGATAAATAAACCAAATTTAGAAGCGCTTAGTGTAATTTTCAGAAAAAAGGGAATAACTCTCCGTTTACATTCTCTGTGCGTTAGTACTGAATAATCTAAGGGCTTCAGACGCCGCCATTTTTATTTTCACCGATCAAAAATGGGGAAGAAGAAAAATCAACGTAGTGTCGCCACTAATCGGCGGCTGAAGATGTATAATAGCAGGCCGAAGTGTGACCGGAAGGGCAAAATTATAAAGCACGATTTTCAGTCACAGAAACTTCCGTCAACGCGGATACAACCGGATCCCCGCTGGTTCAGTATGTTCTATTCACAAATATTTTGACACTTTTCACTTCTGGATATCCAAAATCCAGTTTAAAATATTGAACCAATTAATCTCGTGTTGGTCGAATTGACATTATTGGTGAAAAGTTTCAAACTAATTGGAAAGCATGCACGCAGTATAATTGTTTAATTGTTATATTCGGCGGATTAATTTGCTCATAATGGATTTGTACTTGGTTTCTTGTCTCAATCACAAAAAAGTCATATATGGAAGAATTATATTGAAACATCTGAATAAGGATATGATTTTCGGATTTTACAGTCAATACTCGGGTGATCAGTCAGAAGAAATTGGAATTTTTTAGGGAAGAAATCCAAAATCGGATTTCCAGTAACTACAATGTTATATTGAATGAAAGGAAATTGCCCATGTCCCTTTTGAGTGATCACCACAAGGTATGCATTGTGTCTTTCCCTTTAGATTATATCTTTATGAACTTTTTAGATTTTTTGGTCAGTTTGATAAGTTTTGAGTTGATTGGAAAAAAAAGCACGAGCTAAACCTTGCTGCACTCATGCTTGATTCTGCGTTGTGTGTACTAATTTAGTCATCTTTTTTCTTTGTAAAGAAAGGAAGAGTTCATTCTCTCGACAGTGAGCCCATTGCTGATGCTTTTGAACCTAAAACAAAGAGGAAAGTCCCAAAACATTTTGCATCATTAGCCAAGAATGATGTGTGTCAAGGTATGAATGAGGATGCAAAATTTTTAGGCAAAGTGTCTTATTTTGAAAAGTGATTTTCAATTTGTGTTTGGACATGCTTTCCAAAAGTGATTCTAGGGGGACGCTACTTTTTTTCTTGTGGTTCTATCCAAAACAATTACTACTATTTTTTTCCTAATTACTTAGTTAAACACTTTAACTATCTAAAATAATTTGTTTTGACTATACTGTGTGAAATTTCGTCGTCCACTAAACAACAATTCTTATTGCAGATGCCCTTAAGAGAGGGGGACCATCTAAATCCAACATGTTTTCCAAGTAAACGCCTAAGCAAACCAAAGTCCCAGCATTTTCAAGGATTATGAAACTGAAGATGGAAGTGAGAAGCCAAAATAAGTTTAGGTGATTGAGTTTTTTTTCAAGTAAATTAGAAGATATTTCAGTATGTTAGGGGAGTCAAAAGCAGAGCAATTAGTATAACACAAGCAAGAGAACTCTGTTCTACTTATTACTCATAATGCGCATATGCTTGCCTTCTTTTTCTTACTTCTCCTCTCCATCTTTCTATAATTTGTTAAGCAGAATATCCCCTTAATTAGAGGCTTGCATAAGCAACTTGTTTATCATTCTATACATTATTGATCTTTACAACTCTAAAGTATTATCACAACACTTTCGACTTACTGATATTATTGTTGTTTTTTTATATAATCTATTTTGTAAGGAAAATATTTTTCACTCAACAATCATTCAGGAAATATATTTTTTATGCAAAAGAAAATCAGTACAACAAATTTGATTATGATGAATTATTTTGTCACCTAAGATTCACTTTTCGTCACCAATTTTATTTTATTTTTTGTGACGATTTGTTTTTTTTTTTGGTCAATCTTTCGTCCCTAAAACACCATCACTAATAATATACAAAGACAACTTTGTGTTTCGTTGCTAAATAAAGATTTATTAACTACAAAATCTTTTTTCGTCCCCAAATACATACTATATTTATGACGAACTTATTTGTCATAAAAAGTGCAAAGAATTTGTCATCAATTTGTGTGGCTTCGTCACTAAAAAGTGCATTAATGCCGACGAAACTACCTCTATTTAGTTTAATTAGTGACGACATCATAATTATATTTTATTACACAAAAATTATAAAACTTTTACTAGCTCACACAAAAATCATATAACTTCATCAACGCCACAATAACTATGTTTTCTCACACAAAAATCATAAAACTTTTACTAGCTCACACAAAAATCATATAACTTCATCAACGCCACAATAACTATGTTTTCTCACACAAAAATCATAAAACTTTTACTAGCTCACACAAAAATCATATAACTATGATTTTTTTTCATCAACGCCACAATAACTATGTTTTCTCACACAAAAATCATAAAACTTTTACTAGCTCACACAAAAATCATAGTGATCGAAAAATATAATTTTTTAGTAGTACTTTCTTATTTTGTGATTTTTATTTTTTATTTTCAGTCTAATAAATAATAATCCAATTAAAAAAAATTATAATTATATGATTTTTGAGTGAGAAAACAAAGTTATATGACTTTAGTGAAAAAAAGTCATAGTTATATGACCATTTGTGAAATTTACCCTCTAAAAGTGCATTAGCTTCCCACAAAAGTCACAGAGATGGTGTTAAATAATATTGTCTGATCATCTTCTTGATGAGAACAGTTAAGTTATAGAGGCGCGAACGGTTTTCTATTTTATAACGAGACAAACGGTGTAAAATAATATTGTCTCTCTTTTAATTTGATGCCCAAAAAAAAATAGTCTGATATGAGTTGGGAGTTCTTTTATCTGATTTTATTACCTATAAATCTAAGTTAACTGAGAGTTAGAGTTAAAGGTGATGAATACTATGTTTATCTTACTTAGGCATACATAAATTCCCCAACTTTAAGTGAGTTGCGAAGACATGAGTTTGAGTTTTTGTGAAGATGCCAATTAAGGTATGTCTTGTTCTAATTCTACTGAAATGTAAAACCTTTAATTTACATCTGATGAGCACTGTATTTAGTTGTCAACTTTCTCCCTCTTCAGCATTTTGTCTAAGACTATCTAGTAAATTCATCATCGTAGCTAGTTTAATGTAATTTTCCTTCTTGCTGCTTGATAAGTGTTTCATTTTTTAATTAAAAGCAACAGCTAGTAGTAATTCTTTTAGAAATGAATTTACCAAGAAAATAGAGCTGTCACCGTTTTATGGTCTTAAAGTCCACAATTCACCATCTTTTTCAACCCCTTCTTCTTCTTCTTCTTCTTCTTCTTCTTCACCTAAAACTTCCATTGTTGCTAATAAGGTAAAATAAATTGCATTGCTTTTGTTACTTTCTCTTACCTTTTTAGTTTCATTAGTTTTTCTTGATTTCTTTTCTTCTCTGTGAATTTTTGTAGTTGAACAAATGTACAGTGCCTCGACCACTGATCACATTGAAAGATCAAGATGGGAAAAGTGTGAGCGTTTAAAGGCAAACCGGACTGTGGTTGCACCAAACAAGTATATATATATATCCCTAAACACTTTGAGTTTGCAGTTCTATTTCGTACAGATTTATGAACAAAAGATTTAAAACAAGCTGTTTAAAACATCACTCTGACTGTATGTAAGTTTTGTTCCTTTCTAGATTACAGTTGTTGAAAATTGAACTAGTCAGAGTTAGAGAAGAGTATTAATTAGACTATTGTTTTTTGTTTTACTGCAATGATCTTTAAAAGTTACTTTTGGTGATAACCGATGTGTAAAAACTGTCTATAGGCCTGTGCCTTGAGGGACTCTTATGAAAAATTCACAAAAGCAGGAGCTCAAGTTGTTGGGATATATTAGTGGAGATGATCCTGAATTAATAAACATAAAATACTAATTAATCTAATATTCTATCAATAAAATATATATTTTTTAAAATATGGTAGTTAGTGTCGGTGATGGCTAACGGTGGTGCTTGTGAATGCCGACTAGATGTAGTGGTTGGTGGTGATTTTGGTTGATGGTGGTATTTTGAGTAGTAACTAGTGGTAATTGACAGTAATGTCGATTATGGTTAAAAATGGTGGCGGTAAGTGGTAATAATTAATAATGATGGTTGGTTGGTGGTGGTGGTGGTAGTGGTGGTTGTGATTGAGGAAGGTAGTGGTAGTTTATAATGGTAGGTAGTGCCGACTATGGTTGTTGATGATGATGGGGTGGTTAGTTGAGGTAGATGAGTTTGTAGTTGTGATTGAGAATGATGGTGGTGGGGGTAGCGGGGATTCTGGATGGTATTTGTCGATAATGGTAGCGGCTATGATTAAGGAGGAGGAAGTTGTGGTGGTGGTGGATGGCATGATAATAGTTGATAATGGTAGGAGGTGGTGGCAATTAATAATGAATGTGGATGATCTCACAAGGTATTAATACAGATTTACTTGCTTAATTGTTGTACAGCTAAATACTCTGTTTTCTGGAATTCTTTTTCTATTTTGGGTCATCCGTTAACTAGAGTTCTAACAACAATAACATACCCAGTATTATCCCATATCATGGGGTCTGGAGAACGTAATGTATACGAAGAACTCAATCCTAAGAGGGAACTAGACTTCTTTCAAAACCAAATTGCTTTTCCTTCATGTCATTATGTAGAAAGCATAGTCTGAAACTTCTATTCTTTTCCACAAAGTATTACTGATACGAATAATTAGAAGTGCGTTATATATTTCGATTAAATAACTGGTAAACACTGTGTAGTGTAGTGTCACAGAGTTGAGATGCAATGTAATTAGGGAACTCTAGCATAACGTATGCATTGCCCGATGAAAAAAAAAAGGAAAAGTAATAATAGTCTTAGGCCTCATTTGTTTGCATTTAATGACGATATGAATCTTTTAATCATTCAGATCTCAAACATTAAGTGTGTTTTTAAAGTCTAATTTTAATCATTAAATTTTTTTTTTACTTCATAACCACTTAATGAGTCTTAGAGGGTGTTTGGATTGGCTTTTAAGCTGATCAAATCAACTTTTAACCTCTTTTTAGCTTTTTTCAGTATTTGACAAAGTCAAAAAATGCTTAAAATAAGTTAAATAAAACAAGCCAAAAGCAATAAGTTGAGCAATCCCAACTTATTGCTTTTTGGCTTAAAAACTATTTCTGTTGAAAAGCTATTTTTTTAAACTAATCCAAACGGGCTCTTAATAGGTCTGTATGACATTCAGATGTTAAAAAACAAACAGTCTTATTCATTTAGTATTCAGATCTTAATACACATCTTAATATTCAGATATGTATTTAGATTCAGATGTCTTAATCTTAATGCACATCTTGATATTCAGATGTGTATTCAGATTCAGATGTCTTAATCTTAAAAAACAAAAAACAAATGAGGTCTTATTATATTTCAAGGATATACGGCAAAGAGTCAAATATACCTCTGTACTATTGATTATAATACTTAGAAGTCCTTCGTTATACTATTGGTACTTTTGGGTCCCTACTAATGTGTCATTCCCTGTGCAAATATTCAGACCCAACTAATAATACCCATCCCTGTTAAGACCCAACCCACCCAATAAAATAACCCACAAAATTACACCAGCCTCATTTAAATGAAAACCCTCGTCGCTTTCATAATCGTATTTCCTCCCTAACACTGAAGAACTTATTTCCTCCATATTTGGGTGTTTCCCCTGTATTTAAACTTGAATTCGCTTGTATTAGTTTGATTTTGTTTCTTTTTTCCTTATCAATTTAGATTGTCTTATAAGTGGATAAATGGGTACTCAATGTCTGAATCTAGTTGTTCTTCGAAAAGGAGGTGCTTTTGTGGTGATATTGCCAACCACTTCACTTCAACCATTGTTTACAATCCCGGTAAGAGATTCTATAAGTGCGCGAAACCTGAAGTAAGTGATATGTATCTATAGATTTATTTAATTTTGACATTTTAAACAAAATTTCAGTTTTATTAGTTTTCTCATTATATGTTGTTTGGATTGTGTTTGTAAGAATGAATCATGTGGTTTTTGGGAATGGAAAGACAAAGTCTTACCGGACATAGCGTTGGTTGTAATTAACAATTTCAAGTCGAAGTTTGATGTTGCTCATGTTCAACTAAATACCTTGAATATGGCATTGGATGCACGCAATATTGAAAGGGACACACTGATGGAAAAAGTGAATGCATTAGTGGCTATAAATATTGTTGAAGCGAACAAAGCAAGAGAGCTGGAAGAAAAAGTGTTGAAGTTGAAGATGTTCATTATAATTTCATATACGCTATTTGTTGGATTTGTTGCGGCTTTCTTAATGAAGTGAACCTCTAAATAAGTCAAGCGCATTATGTTTTTCATCGGATGGATGTTTGTAGAATTAATTTAGATGAAGTACTTATTTTTGTGTTGATGGACATTATGTAGTATTTTTGAATGAAGTTTTTGATTTCATGTCTTTATTTTGTATTTCGGATGAAGTTATGTCACGACTCAATTTCATCTGTAGGTCATGATGGCGCCCAACACTACAGTTAGGCAAGCCAACTAATAAGTCAATCGTACATTGGTTAAACTTTTATTTCAAGAAAATAATAAAATACCAAAATGTGTGTGCCAAGACCCGGTGTCACAAGTGCATGAGCATCTAGTAGATTATACAAAACTCCAAATACTGTCTGAAATGAAATAGACAGAATATAAATATAAGAAGAGACACTGGTAGCTGCAGAACGGCTCAGAAAGGCAGTTCACCACTATGCCTCGGGATGACGTGGGTATGTGATGATAGGTCCTCCACTAGTACCTGTCTCATGTCCAGCACAAAAAGTGCAGCAAGTGTAGTATGAGTACGTAAACAACATGTACCTAGTAAGTATCAAGCCTAATCTCGAAGTGGTAGAGACGAGATGGCCGACTTTGACACTCACTATGGGTCAATAATAATAACTGAAATAAAACTAGGATATTTAAATCAGCATGATTTACAGAATTTACAATAATTTATTTAATCAGCGGAAATAATCAAATTCCTTCAAATGTAACAATTCTCAATATATTAATTAAATTCCTTCAATTCAAATAAATTCCAATTTATCAATTAAATCTCATTTACAGGAGTAACAATTAATTCCTAAACAAGCAAGAATAATAATTCATTAAATTTCAAGGATTTTTCAATTTATTAATTAGCTTCACAAGCTGAAATAAATTATTAAAGTATCGTGTAATTATTATTATTAAGCACGATTTCTGCCGAGGACGTACGACCCGATCCAGAGTGTCGTGTACACTGCCGAGGGACGTGCGGCGCGATCCATAGATGCATCTATCCTGCCGAGGCGTTCGGCCCGCTCCACAAGAAAGGAGGACATTTTCTTATGTGCCTCCGGAAGGAGAGTATATTTATTATAAGATAAATTTGGGAGGAGAATAATTTCTTTTAACAATTAATTGATTTAAACAAAAATTAAGCATATGAAAATTTCATATTTTTCTACTTTTCATAACAATTCACAATATATACATCAATTATTTTAATTAATAAAGAATACAATTCACACAAGTAATTCATGCTTTGAGTCTTAAACTACCCGGACTTTAGCATTAATAGTAGCTACGCACGGACTCTCGTCACCTCGTGCGTACGTAGCCCCCCACAATTAGCAACAATTATTTAATTTTAATCACCTATGAGGTAATTTCCCCCTCACAAGATTAGACAAGAGACTTACCTCGTCTTGCTTCAATTTAATTCACTATAAAGCCTTTTTCACGATTATCCAACTCCGTCTGGCTCGAATCTAGCCAAAATAATTCGATACAATCACTAAATATTATAGGAATCAATTCTATAAGAAAATACTACATTTTAAAGAAAAGATCCGAAATTAATTAAAAAATCGCCCGCGGGGCCCACATCTCAGAATCCGGCGAAAGTTATGAAATCCGACAACCCATTAAATTACTAGTCCAACGATACCAGTTTCACTCAAATCTGACTCCGAATCGATACCGAAATCTCAAAAATTCGTTTCTATGAGATTTCTAAAAATTTCCCAAATTTAAATCTCAAAACACTAATTTATGGTGAAAACAATGATATACTTGTATATGTAGACCAAATCCGAGTTAGAATCACTTACCCCAAT